TTATTTATTTCGTATTTCTATTTTACCCATCAAAATAATAGAAATAAGAATTTTGGTATCTACACATTATACAGGGATCACACCAGATGAGATTATACAAATCTCAATAAATTTATTCTTGTATCACTTTAATAAAGACATAATCTTATAGATAACATATAATACATGACTTAATATTATATATACAGTCACATGTTAAAAATTATCAGAAAAACATAGGAAAGTTTTGCAAGCACTAAAATAAAATTTTGTTCATTTTATACAATAAAAACATATTTAAGATTTATTTTTACTAATTCTTAAATTATAATTATATTTTTATTAACTTTACTAGTTTATTTCCGTTAAATAGCTAACATATGAAGCAGAATATGATTCCTTCATTTAAAAATGAATCTAAACTGTTACATTTTCCATTTAAAAAAAATTAAATCATCATATTTTTGTATAAAAAAAAAAAAAAAGTGAAGCTTTTATTTAAATGTGATACATAGCATATATTAATTAGCATTTGGATCATTTTTACTGTTTTCCCAGAACGGGCCGTTCCAAAACCACGTATTCTTCGTTAAAACAGCTCCTGGAACGGGCCGTTCCACATTCAAAAAAAAGGTTTAATTCTTAATTCTAGAACGGCCCGTTCTGTGCCCGTTTCAATTTCGAAAAAATGACTCTGTGGCATTAAGCAGAACGGCCCGTTCTGCTTTCGGAACGGGCCGTTCCACTTTCAAAATCTGCCCAAATTTCCCTGCAAACACGAAAAAAAAAATATAAAAACAACTTAGAATTGGGTTCCCTGGGAACCGAATTCTGAGTTGAAAAAACAAAAAAAATAATACTTTGAAGCTCAGAATTCGGTTTCCCGAGAACTGAATTATGAGCATGCACAGTAAATGGTTCTAGTGCGGTAAATAAACCTGCATAGTTGTTAATCTTGTAATTTTTTTTTAAAAAAATAATATTTTGGTAAAAAATTCCTACATTGCCACACTTCTCAAGTTTATAATGTTGACTATTTTAAATAAAGTACTTTATAATATTGAGCTAATGACAAACTGATTTGTAATATTAAATATTTTTATTAGTCGATGACATGATAATATGTTTTATCAGTTGTTTAATGTTATTTTTTTGTTTTCACTGTTTAATAATAAATTAAATAAATCAGCTCGAATAAAGTCAAATTTGATCAAATAAAAATAGTTCTTATCATTTAAATTCAATGAAAATATGTTTCAAATTCAGTCTGCAATAGTTCGATTCACCCTTAAGTTATATTAAAAAAAAATTATCCGATACACGAAGAAATTACAAATTAGAGACATAACTACAATACTTTATCAAATAAAGTCTGTTATGAAACTTGTCTTCCTTAAAGGGTGCATGACCTCTTTAATGATTTTTTTACTTTATTGTCATGACAATTCTAACTATGAATGGTGCAGCACACACAAATAAACTTGAAAAAAAAAATGTGATGTTGGCTAGGACATGGTCACTGAAAGAAGATTAGGGGTAAAAACAACAGAGAGAATACACATTTAATATTATAATATAAAATTAATTTGAAAATTTAAGTGATATATTCCATTCATTTATTTAATTATTCATAAATCTAACATTATTGTAGCAAATTCTACCAATGTACTACATAATTTATTAGTTTCCTGAAGAAAACATTATTATACAATAAAACTAAAATGTATTTATTGTTATGTTAAATATTTCTCACATTCATTAGTATTATTTGGAAGAGAAAGAAGAATAAAAGAGAATGAGAGAATATGTAGGAATTGATTTGATAGAAAATAAGTAAGAAATAAAATGAAATAAAATCAAATTTATAATTATTTGATAAAGTGAAATTAAATAAAAAATAAAATGAAATTAATATTTATAATTACTATTTTACCCTTTATTTACAAGGTGGTTTAAATTATTATTAGAGTGAAATCCACTTCTAAAAATCTACTTTTAATTCTTCACAAAACTCTTTAAATATCTTCACTAAACACAATTTTTTTTTAATTCATTCTAGTCCATTTTCCTCCCTATTAAATAATCTCTATCAAATATAGTCTAAATGTTAAAAAAATTCTCATTGTATACTTTGAAAAGTCTACTATAAAAGCTTAGTGAGTCAAACAAGTTTCTAAGTACTTTTAGAATAGAACAGCAATGTGAACCACCGTTTACTTAGATTCATTTATTAGAATATTGTATGTAAATCTTGCATTTACTCTAAGCATTTAGGCTATCACACAGGTGGTGTTGGGACAATTTACAATAGCCTTATAGCTGGCCTATTTTGAATTTAACTTAAGAATCTTTAGTTTGTGTGGAAGCAATAGAAGAAAGAAGATTTAGAAAAGTGTCAGAAAACCCTAAATCCTATCAACACTTTTTTTTTATTGGGAGATTTCGTATCTTAATTAAAAATATATATAAAAAAAAATAAATAATAAAAATATATTAATGTAACTCGTATTACAAATGATTTTTGAGTCTGAAGATCTTGTGAATTTAAGTCTTTAATTAATAATAAAAATATTATTATTTTAAAATAATAAAATGATATAATGGTATACTAAATATAAAAACTAAGATAATTATTAAAAGGGATATCTTTTTGCGGTAGGGGTTGATCCACGCTTAAGCAAGGTCAGAGGTTCGAATCCTGCCTTGTGTATGCAGCCGCGTTAAATCTTAGGGCCAACTATCCCACCTTTTGAGGTGCCTCCAACGTAGCGAGGAGGTTAGTCACTGCTATCGACGGTAAATACTCCAAGGACGAATCAAAAAAAGGGATATCTCTTTTATAAATTAGATTAATTTTAACTTTTATATTAATTAGATTTGACTATTTAATTATTTTTATTAATATAAATAAAATTTACAATCTTGTTATCACTTTGAGAGAGAGAGAAAGAGAGAGAGAAAATAAGCCATTTTTATTTTTTCTTCACGTTTTTTTTTTTTTTTTTTCTGTATTGCTTCAATGTTTATACAGTTGATTTTTGTTCTTCTCGTAATCTTATTTTTATAGTATGATAATTACACACAATACTTATTTGTTATGCATATTATTAAAATTTATCATGAATTAAATTATCTTGTAAAAGTTATTAAACTTTTTAAGTAAATACATAAATGTACATTTTTTAATTTCACATATATAATATATATAAAAAAATGGTAAACTAACTTAAATAATTTAAACTTCATTTAAAAGCTTAAATAAAATTATTAATCAGAATAAATGAGTGTCAAAAAATATTATATTACCATCAAATTACATATTAGTATATACAAGTAAATTATTAAGTTTTATAACAATTATATATAAATTAGTGGGGTCGTGGCTTGATATCTTTATATTCTATTTAATAAAAATATTTAAAGATTATCAATTTTTGTTAGTCAACTAATATTATATTTGGTCTTTAAATCTTAAGATCTCAATTTTAAATTTTGTATTTGTAAAAATAATTGATATTTAATATTACTTTTATCATTTAAAAATAAAATCATCTAAAAAAAAATATACCAAATTAGATTATTGTCTTTATAAGATAATAGATACTAGAAAAAAAAACATTTTTATCTTAATGAAATTATAATAAAGCGGTTATGATGAAAAATGATAATTTTATCTAAATTAATAAAATAAAATTATTGAATTATCATCTATTTAAAAAAATAATTGAAGAGTTATCATAATAAATAAAAGATAATATTTTAAAAATTAGGTATACAAAAGGGATGAATTATCATTATATATGAAATTATAAAATGATTACATTAATATTTTGGAATAAGGAAGTTATAAAGTAGGTATGATGAAAAATAATAAATTTTATCTAAATCAATAAAATAAATTTATTGAATCATCATCTACTTAAAAAAATAATCGACCAGTTATCATAATAAATAAAAATAATAATGTTTTAAAAATCATGTATGCAAAAAGAACGGATTGTTTTTATATATGAAATTATGAAGCGGATATATTAATGTTTTGGGATAAGGAAGTTATAAAGTAGTTATGATGAAAGATAATATTTTTTTATCTAAATTAATAAAATAGAATTGTTGAATTATCATTTATTAAAAAAAATCGAGCAGTTATCAAGGATAATATTTTAAAAATTGTATATAAAAAATGATGAATTGTCTTTATATATAATTATAAATTATAAATTATAAATATATAAATTTAGAATAATTTTCTTGAAGAAAATATTCTTAGAAATTAATTTTAAGTAAGAGTATTTTAAATTTATCATTTTGTTAATTTTGTTTCGATAAAAACGTTTTAAAATTTTCTTATTTCTTTATTTTTTTAATTTGTCATTTTGTTATTATTAAATTATATTTCAATATTTCTTTATTATTTTGGTCTCTTAAATTTAAAATTGTTATTTTTAGTTCCTATAATTTTAAAAAATCTTATTTTAATCCTTATATTTAAATATTGTTAAGAAATTTATCAAATATTATTATGTAAAATCTACCTATTAATGTCGTTGTTAGTGAAAAATATCATATTAAATCCAGTTAATACTACATAATTTTCTTAATTTGTCACTTTTAGATATAATATTGATGATGTAAAGGACTAAGTATTTTTTTTTTAAATTACATAAATTAAATGAAGAACCAAAAATAAATTTTTCTTAAATTTAAAGAGCTAAAAATATATTTAAATCTAATTAAAAATAATTTTATATCAAAATATAAATTATTTACTGTAAATCTTAAATCCAATTTATATAATAAAATATTTATTTTTATAATTTTGAATTACAATATAATTTGTATATTAAAATGTATTTATACATGAAAAAAAGAAAATTGCATCACGTGTATGTTAAATTACAAATTATTTTAAAATTCTTCTTAGTAACAAAAAAAAATAAAGTTATTTTAAAAATTACAGATTATAGATAGGGTAAAAGAAAATATAAAAAATTGAACATGAAAGGTTGCGTAGTGTGAAGTGTATGGAGTGGAAACCAAATATACAAATATAGGATCGGATTGACTCCACAGTGCGCAGAGATGAGAAGAAATCAGTTAGCGAACTTTTCCAATCTTCCTCGCTAAGGTAAGGAGTAAGTCTTCCAACCAAAACCCTTTCTCTCTCCTTTTGCAATGCGATTTCCTCACAGATTCATGCTCGCTTCGCTTATAAACTGATCGTTTCTGCTTTCCTCATTCTACTTTTCGTTTTGCCTTAGGTTCTGCGTAACCGCTGCTTCAATTTAACCCATTGCTTCTTCTCTCACCCTTCCCTGCACGGTTCTCTCTTCATCTACTGTTCCTTTTTCTTTATCTTCGTTTAGGATCGTGTTTTGGTTATTTCTTGTTCCTATGTTTGGATATTAGTGTTGGTGATGATGAGATACATTAGTGTATATAAGTGAGGAACGATTTTCACCTGATTGTATATGGTTGAGTTAGACTTTAAATCCAGTTTCTAAAATGGCAATAGAGTGTATCAAAACTTATATTATGGAGATTATTGATTGTTGTTAAGTCTACATTACCACCAATGCACCAATTTTACGGTAGAGGCACTCATCGTGATTTGTGCTGGGATCCGCCAATTTTATGCAAATTCACTTTTGAGGCCATAATTGCAGTTTACACGAGTGGAACTAAGCCTTGTTGTTTTGTAGCTTCGCTTTCTCATAATCTCGTCTGTGTTTTTGCTTTTGCCAAATTATGTTCCTATATATTTATTTTTGGATGATATTTTGTGTAGAGCCAAAACTTGGAGGTAGCATACAATAGTTTCCGATGAGTACTGCTGGATGGTCAGATGAGGAATGCTCTGTCATTGGAGAAAAGGCAGAAATCGGGTTTCTAGATTTTGAGGAAGAGAAATCTGTTTGCAGTTACGTTGAGGATGAAAGGGCACCGATTATTGTATCTGTCCCATTTGCATTTGTGAATGGCAAGCCTCAATCTGTAATTGTAGGAGATACTGCAGTGGATTTAATAACAATTAAGAATACTACTGGTGAACCTGTGGACCTGTGGAGTGTTCATATTTTTGCCTCAAATCCTCAGGACAGTTTTACTCTTTCTCTCACAGAGCCTCCATCAGCAAATTCAAATGCAGACGGAGACCAAAGCTTTTTAGAATCTTTCACTTTGGAGGACAGGGTGCTTCAGCCTGGAGAGAACTTAAAAATATGGTTGTCTTGCAAGACAAAAGATATGGGCATGTACTCATCAGTTGTTTATTTTGATGTTGGAGATGAAAAAATCGAAAGGGTGGTTTTCCTCTTAGTTGAAGACAAACTCTCTAAATCTTTGGCTTCTAACAGGCCTTATTCAAGAGCAAGGAAAAAAGATAAATTTGTCGTAGATACTTTTGTTGCGGCTTCACGTCCTGTAGGGAAGCCAACCCGAAGATATATAAATCGACTTCCAAGATATAACATTCCCAGGGACATCAGAGAGTTGCTTGAGAGCAATCAGGTCCCTCAAATTCTTGAAGAAGGTCTTACAAAAAGGACTTATGCTTCTTATTTCAAAACATTAATAATAATGGAAGAGATACAATTGGAGGTAATCATATTTGTTACACTGTATAGCAACTTATGAGTCACAGGCCATAAAAAACGTCAAGACTGATTTTATTTTTTTTCTATTAATTCCTTGATACTGACTTATACTTCAGGAAGACATGAGGACTTATGACATGGAATGCATATCTATGAGAAAGAGAACCAGTAATTTCTTGACTATGGAGGTTCCTGGGCTTGCTGAGAGAAGGCCCTCGCTGGTTCATGGGGATTCTATCTTTGCCAAACTCTCATCTGGACATGATAATAACACCACATCCGTTTATCAGGTTTGGTCCTTATTTGGCTGCGGGTCACATTCACTTGGATAAATAAAATTTTTAGCTAGAAATTGTTGCATCAGCTGGTCATTATATACTATCAGATGGATACCGTAATTATTAACATTTTTTTATATTTTCTTTTGATGTGATCTAGAGTCTGCTCTTGTAGATAATAAAAGTGCATGCCTTTTTGATTGTGTTATCTTAACCAATGAATCATAGAATGCCATATCATCTGTGGTGATATATTTATGTTGGCAACATTTGTTATGTGTCAATTGTCTTACCTATATATACTGCACGCCTCTTGCATTTCCTCTCTGCATTGGCAAACATGATTCAGGGGCAGCTATGATAGATTGAACACATTTGTAATGCACTTTACACTTTGAGTGTTGGTTCTAAACCTTAAATAAAATTAAAGAGATTATTACAGAATTGTAGAATATAAAACAAGATGGGTACTTTGTGTAATAGATTTGATATTGTTTTATTGCTTAAGATTCAAGAAAAACTTAACAGAAGGGTATCCTTTTCTTGTTGGAATTATTTATTTATTTATTTAGAAGGCCAGATTTGGGTCATATTTGGCCTGACTGGACTGCACGAAGATATTTATCCCCCTCTGGTCATGTTGGGTCATATTTGACCTGACTGCACGAACTTCATGATGTCTGCAGAAAATGCAACACTTAAATTGCAGTTTCTAATCCATTGAGGATAAGTTCAGCAATTCAGGACATGATTCTGCCCATGCTCCAATTTGCTCTCTTGTTTGTTTTACAGGGTGAGTGAGTTGTATTGATTTGCGTGACTCAAAATGTGAATCAAACAATTTCTATAACCATGTGTTTGATACTTATTTTAAGGGAATAATTTCTTATTGTTGGCAGATTATTGAGAGATCTTTTGAAAAATAAACAATTATTTCCCAAAATTTAATCATTTGCAGAACAGGCACTATGTCTGTGTGAAGTGCATTCCATTAATCATTAATCATTAATTTTGGCTATCTTTTATTGTTCGTAAATATATGCTTATCCAATTTGCTTTCAATTATTCTACAAATTATTCATTTAGGGTTGGGTTACTGTGTGTGAATTTCTGCAGGGATTTGTCCACCGAGTTGAAGCTGATGAGGTCTATTTGAAGTTTGATCCTGAATTTCATTTTTTCCATAGGGATGAAAATCGCTATGATGTTCACTTCACATATAACAGGCTTAATATGAGAAGGTTATATCAGGCAGTTGAGGCAGCAGATTACTTGGGAAATGAGTTCCTTTTTCCATCTTCGTTTTCCAGAAAGAGGCAGATCAAAACCACTGCTTTGGTTCCCATATCTGGTACTTTTAACGAGGAGCAAATTTGTTCAATCAAAATGATTCTTGGTTGCAAAGGTGCACCGCCTTATGTGATTCATGGGCCCCCAGGTACGGGAAAGTCGAGGACAATAGTAGAAGCAATCCTCCAGCTCTACAAATATAATAAAAATGCTCGTATTCTTGTCTGTGCACCCTCAAATAGTGCAGCAGACTACATACTGGAGAAACTCCTTGCTCAAAAGGATGTTGCGTTTCGAGAAACTGAAATATTCAGGCTCAATGCATCTACCAGGCCATATGAGGATGTCAAACCTGAACTTATCCGCTTCTGCTTCTTTGATGATTTGGTATTTAAGTGTCCCCCAGTCAATGCCCTCATTCATTATAGGATCATAATATCCACATATATGAGTGCTGGTCTTCTTTATGCTGAAGATGTTTCCCGCGGTCACTTCTCTCACATTTTCTTGGATGAGGCTGGTCAAGCTTCAGAACCTGAAACCCTGATTCCTGTGTCCCACCTCTGCACAAGGGATACTGTTGTTGTTTTGGCTGGAGACCAGTTGCAGTTGGGTCCAGTAATATATTCCAAAAAAGCAGAAGAGTATGGGTTGGGGGTTTCATACATGGAACGGTTATCTGAATGCGAGTTATATTCTATGGGAGATGCAAATTATGTAACAAGATTGGTTAAGAACTATCGTTGTCACCCAGCGATTTTACATCTCCCTTCAAAGCTGTTCTATGAAGGGGAATTGATTGCCTGTAGAGATCCTACAACTTTCATGAAGATTGGGGAGTTGCTCCCTAATCAGGAATTTCCTATTCTTTTCTATGGCATCCAAGGATGTGATGAAAGAGAAGGGAATAACCCCTCTTGGTTCAACCGAATTGAAGTAAGTAAAGTTATAGAAGTTGTCAGGAGACTGATAGCCGGTGGGAATATAAATGAGGAAAACATTGGCATAATAACTCCATATAGGCAACAAGTGCTGAAAATAAAACAGACGCTTGAAAATCTAGATATGCCTGAAATCAAAGTGGGTAGCGTTGAACAATTTCAAGGACAAGAGAAGGAGGTTATTATCGTATCAACTGTTCGATCTACCATCAAACACAATGAGTTTGACAGAGTCCACTGTCTTGGCTTTTTGAGCAATTACAGAAGGTTTAATGTGGCTATAACCCGAGCTATATCACTGCTGGTTATAATTGGGAACCCACATATTATCTGCAAGGTATTGCTTTTTATCTAACAAACTGCAACTATATGTTAAGTCAGTTAACTACAGATCCCCCCTTTTGTGCTTATACATATAAAACATGTTCATATTTCCTCTGATTGACTGTATTGCATGTAAGCACTAGTTTTCTACTTTCTAGATGGTACACGTTACAATACATTACTTTAACTGTCATGGTTGTACTGAGAAATGGGAATGCTTACAGATAATGGTATTACTGTTTTCTACATTAATTGGTCAATTTGTCCTCTTAACTGGATAAATATTGTTGCAAAATATTCAAAGAAAGATGGTGATAATATAAAAAAAACAGGTTCAAACCCTAATTGTTAGCTAGAACCTTATCCTGATAATAATGGTTTATAAAATCATTCTTCACTTGTCATTTGGCAGGACGACAATTGGAGCCAAATGTTGTGGCACTGTGTGGACAACTCATCTTATCTGGGTTGTTCTCCTCCTGAAAGGCTTCAACATTGTGAGGAAGAGGACACTGGAGAGAACTCATGCTTTACTGAAGATAATGCATTGCCACCCTCCAACAATGTTGGATGGGGTCCGGATTCATCCCCGTTAGATTTACCTAAACCTGTTACCGATGAAGCTGAATGGTCTGACGGCTGGAGAAGTAATTAATCTAGCACCTCGGACTTGGACTTTTTCACAAGATTCATGTTTATACTCTCTTTATGACTTTTTGTATTAGGTTTCTGTGGACTTACACTTGTGTTTGGAACGAGGCCTAGTTGATTTTATTTATCCCATAAAGTTTTTTTAAAAAAAATAAAATTAAAAAGGCGATCTAACCCATATTGTATCCTGGTGAATTGATTAATTACAAATTGTTTATCATGCAAGTTGTCATCGACCAGTTGTCTGGAGTCTAAAATATTGAATATTTGTAAATATACAAACATGCCTTTAGTTTTTATCATGCGAGCGCTGCATCCAGATTAGAAACGAGATTAATTATTTGGGTGTGTAACAATATTTTCCTAAGCATTCCATGAAAACAATATGGTAATAAAATTAGTAACAAGATATTTTAGCAAGAGTTGGAAAGGTCACGTGTTGAGGAGTGTTACAAAATCACATGTCCATACTCCATACTTTTTTGTGTTAAGTTAACGTGGACCTGGTGCATGTTTGGAACAGATTTTGGAATGTGCATCCGTGTTTTCTCTATACGTCCAACAGGCAAAATTTGTGGATGCTACAACTTGTTTTCTGGTGGATGAAGTTTTACACATCTACGATTGATTTTCTTTTAAGACGTGACGTTGATTTTAAAAAGCCCATATCTATCTGTCTAACCCATGATATTGTATATGGATGAATTGATTAATTACAGAAGTTAATCACGTAAGTTATCATGTCATCAACCAGTTCTAAAATCATGACTACTTGAATAGATAAGTTATTCATTATCAGTAAAAGTGTATTTATACGACATCCTTTACTAATAACTAACAAGTTACTAACAAAGAACAGAACCTAAGCTAACCGAAGAAAGAAGCGAATAAAAAACAAAGATATAACTTGTATATATTTTGTCACCAGGGAAACGCACAATTGGGATGAGAAACAAAAGTGTGTATATGTTTGAAACACGTACGGCCATTATGTATTGAAATAAAGACCAACCGATCGAGGGTGTAGCAACAATAGCAATTAACATATTAATTCCTAAGGTTCAACTATATTTCCCATGAAAAGGTTGAGAAAATGAGGGTAATGAAAAGCAGTATGTGTGAAGTGAGGGTTGAAGCATTGGGGGAGGTGTTGTGAAACCATGTTATTGTTGCTGCTCCTGCTCCTGCTCCTGCTTCAGCTGGTACCCCTTTCCCATAAGATCCACCCAACCCTGATCCTGATCTTCCTCCTCCTCCTCCTCCTGCACGTTCCCATATGCATGCATGCATGCATGCATGCATGCATGCTCGTGTTAATATATACATACACGTTCATTCTCGTTAATAATAAGAAATATCCACAACAGAAAGTGAAGACTCACTACCACCACCACCACCACCACCACTACCGCGTAGAGGTTGAGTTGGTGCGCTGTTGAGAGGAGGAAGAGCCGGTGCTGATGCTGTCAAAGAAAAACAAGAATGCAATGCAAGGACGACGTTAAATAACTATCTTAAGCCTTAAGGTAAGATTTAGAGTGAAAGAAAGAAAGAAAGAAAGAAAGAATAAAGAATGAGTGTTACGTACGTACCTGAGCAAAGAGAAGGGAAGGTGGTTGAGGTTGTGTTGGGAGACGGACACAGCCAAGAGAGGGAGAGGAGTCTGCTGCTGTTCAGAGGGAAACCCAGAATCATTGGCTCGCGGAGGAGATAGCAGAGGCACGCCGAGTCCGCGGCGGAGGAGAAGGCCTCGCAGCACTTTTCCGAAGCGCTTTCCGTCAAGTTGTTCGGAGGATACGACACGTACGCCAGACACGGTGAAAACGACGTTAGCTCCTCCGTGCAACCCTCCCTCGCCGCCGTCACCACCGCCGCACCCAAGAGGAGGACCACCGACGCCATCATACGTTTGCCATTTGGCGTCACTGAAACCGACTCACTTCTCATGATCATTAGGTCTATGCATGCACTTTTCTTTCGCCTTTCGAATATCATAATGCTTCCACCAACGCCATCGATTCCTATCATATGTAATATTTTATAACGAAAACTAAAATATCATTTCTTTATCTTATTTAATCACATGTTCTAAAATATCATTTCTTTTATAAATAATTGCCTAATTTTTCTAATATTTATAAATAATTTTGTAAAAAATATTACAAAGTAGATCAAATTTAATACAATTAACTTATTTCTTTAATAAATATTTCACGCACCTCATCCAATTAAACTAAATCCCATATGTACTTAATATGAGCTTTACTTTTGATCAGTGATTTTTTAAAGTGCATTTATGTAATACATAGAGTTTAACAAACATTTTTATCTATGATGTTATTGAATGGACAATGACTATCACAAAAAAAATAAAAACGAGAAGCAATTTAATTGATAACATGTATCATCACATTATTTTTATCGACTATTACAATTGTTACATTACTTTTCAATATTGTCATGGTTTTTATGCTATTGCAATTGTTGTCTTCACCACCACCTTTGCACAACTTCCACCACCAAATATATTTTAAAAAAATTAGTATTGATTAGAAGCACAGTAATATTTTCATACAATGACCTCCTCGTCATTTAGATAATTTTGTTTAAATCTCAACGTACAAAAAGAAGTTTGTATTTGAATTTAGTGTCAAATATCATCAACAGTCAACAAAATGATTTATTTTTATTTTGTTAACTTAATATGACAAACAATCGGAGTGGTGAAAAAAAAAAAAAAAAAAAAGAGGGAGAATTCATTATTAAGTCAACGAAGACTTGGGGGAGGAACTGATATTTAGCAGTTTGACAACAGTAGAACAAGCAAAGGGCTAACTAGCAAAGGAAGTTGGAACTGTTGCTTTGAGCCAACCACTGCACAGCAAAATGTATATTCTATGCACCCTCCGCTGAACAGCCATCTAAGATTTTATGATTTAGCCTGTCTGATAAATTCATATTGTAGTTCTTATGTTGCATTAAGGTATGCCAAGGTTGATGTCACCTTTTTATCAACTCCAAATGAACTTATATAGTTTTGCTAGTGTTGTTTTCAAATTAAAATTGAAATTTTATCATCATAATTCACGTAATAAATGTTTACATTAAAAATATTTATAAAACTTTACACCTTAATGAAATTCGGCAAACTTAATAAACTTGCTGAGTGAATAAAATAACAATAATTTGCTTTCCATGCACTCATATACACCCCAACACAAAATGCCTTTTGATATAATAATCTGAGCAAAACCTAATAAATAGGCACAAAGATGTGGAAGGCACAGCAACCTAGTAGTGTTTAAGAATGAAGGGAAAATCCTATAGCAATCAATAAAACAGAAGGCAGGAGGTGGTAAGATGAGATGGCAGATGATGGAGTCAGATCAGAGCGGCCACTTCCTCCTGTGGTTGCAGATGATGGAGTCAAAAGAGGAGGGGTTGTATCAGACACTGGTGCCAAAGAAGGTGAGGGAACTACAGAGGAAGCTGTTCAAACAAAACAAGATGCTCACATTAGCATTAGTATTAGTATTCAAGTTGACAAGTGTTTAGTTCTCAATAAACTGTCACAGTGCATGCCATAAGAAATTGCATATGATAGTGTGTACCTTGAGGACTAAGAGGTGGAACAGATGGAGAAAGAGATGGCCCAAAAGCCGCTGGTCCTGCCAACATAAATCAAAATCATGTAAAGCATTAATCAAAATATGGAAAAGGTTCGATGATTAACACTTATGGTCTAGATAAAGTTTTCTAGAGATAAAAATAAAAAGAAAAATTAAAATAAGTTTTCCCTTAAACTAAAAGTCAAAAATAAGATTTTTGAGATGTTAGTAACAGAATATACTAATTTTAATTTATAGAAAAAATTATTTCATTTTTTCTTTCTATTGTTTTCTTGTAAAACTGTTTTAAAAGACCCTTAATATAATAAGTTTTAAGCATATTGGCGTTACCTGGAGCTGGAATTGGCGAACCTGAGGCTGCAAAATAAGAAAGCACTTGATAAATTGAATAATTAAAAACAAATAGTAAGAAAGAACTTAAGAAAATAAAGATTGAAGAAATATGTGTATACCTTTGCATTGAAGTGGAAGACGAGGCAAATTGCAAGCACGAGGAAGAGAGATGGCCAAGGTTCGGTTGATTGGTATTGTGAAGGGAAGATTGCCGGTGACAATGAGACACAAACAGTCCATGCCCCCACTTGTGACGGACTTTATGCTATTACAGCAGTCTGCAGTTGGTGAAGCTGAAGAAGTGCCATTGCCACTGCTATTTGTCAGGAAATTCATGCAAGGGTTCAACAAACTGTTTATCATTGATGCGTTGCATGGCGTCGTCACTTGGGCGTAGGCTGGTCTAGCTATCACCGTAGCCATGGCTAATATCACAGTTAGGCTCACAAAACGCTCCATGTTTGAGTTTTGGATGCTTGTCTTCAAAAGTACAGTTTGGAAGTTTGATAGTGGGAAAATGGAGAATAAGGAAATTTATAAGGAGATAAAGGAGAAAAAAATAGGTCTAAAAGCTCAACTGCCATAACTAATCAGTGGGAAATGAAAAGAGTGGGAGTAGGTTTGTGAATGGTGGCATTTTAAGCTCAGGTGGCATCTAAAACATCCTACCCTAATCTATTGTTTTTTTATCATTAGTAAGCTGGCAAATGTCAAATCAAATCATTCTTTATTTTATTAGGTCATCTGCTCAAGAGGATAGATAACCGAATCCTAGTGCTAGTAGTACTTCCCTCTTCACTTCCTGCCCTTTTTTTTATTCATGAAAATCAAATTCATTATTAAAAGATTACTACAACATATAGTTTAAACTAACCAACTTAAACGGCTTAACCCCTTTATCTTCCTAGCGTTTCTCTGCTTTTACATTAAATATTTATTTATTAAATCATACAAATGTGATACTAGGTTAACACATAAAGCTTCCATTGGACTTCAACTCATTTAAACGTCTACTATATTTTGGGGTCAAGCCCAAGCCAGACTTTTTTCAAAGACCCAACTTATTAACCATATCAAACCGTTTTTAAACGCGACTTGATTTATGACGATCAATATTTCGGCTATAACATTAACACAACCAATATATGGCAATGGTTTCTGACTACCTAAATGAAAATTTACTAGCATATAGCGGTACTAAATTTGCTTTAAATTAATTTTTTTAGTTATTTGGATGAAACATACTTTAAAAACTATTAAAATTCTGTAAATTGACTGGTCAAATACTTGGGGAGAAGTTGGCATAAAATTGTAAATCAATAGCTTACAACGTCTTCTGTTCGTGAGTTGAAGCTACAAGGGGACGCTAATACGTTTTCGATCAAACATACATGTTACAGACTGCTGTCCATCTCGCAAGACACGTGGTTCTTTCTTGTTTGGTTATGTTTTTTAAGTCTGCTGCTTTGAACACATAAAAGTATTACTGACCCGAAGCCTGAGAAGCTTTAGTGGGTCATCTGTTTAACCGCCCAGGATTTAGAATTTTATACGCAAGTCAATATTATAGAAAAAGGGTCCCAGAATTGAGGTTTGATTACCTAACAATATATAAGGCCGCCACCAGATACCAAATAGATCCCGTTGGACAGTAGGAGGAGTTGTTCACCCACATCACCTTACCATTGTCATTTTCTGCCCCCCTTCCCCTACAAAACCCCATGCCTCCTTCTTCCAAAACCATCCTCTCTTCCAAAATATCCCTTACACTCGAAAGAAAAAGGATACCAAACCAACACATTTGCATCAAACAATTCGGATGGCGCACACAAAAATGGAGACGGGTTTGGTTTTGGTGGTAATGGCCATGCTGTGTGCAGGAGCTGCAGCACAATCGAGTTGCACAAATGTGTTGGTGAGCCTGTCACCGTGCCTTAACTATATCACAGGGAATTCTTCAACCCCTTCTTCAGGATGCTGCTCACAGCTTGCCAGTGTGGTACGCTCACAACCACAATGCCTGTGTCAGGTTCTTAGCAGCGGTGGATCATCGCTGGGGATCAACATCAACCAAACTCAAGCTCTGGCATTGCCTGGTGCTTGCAAGGTGCAGACCCCACCCACCAGTCAGTGTAACAATGGTAAGACAACACAATTTCTATTTCATTACATTACATTCAATACAAACAAAAAAAACGAAAAACAGAACTAAATAATAACCAAGATAAGCGTAACCCATTCTGATCAACATCCTTCTGCTAACGTAACATTTTTTGTTCGCCAGCAGCTGCTTCCCCACCAACAGAAACAGAAGCGGAATCTCCAAATTCAATTCCATCAGGTACTGAAAGTTAATTCACCACTTTTCGGGATGGTATTTTAGTTGATGCTTCACAGTCTGATTACATCCAATTTGCCCTTTGTCCGAGTTAACCATTCAAATTGACATTCACTTGCAGGAACCGGATCCAAAACCCTACCCACAACTGATGGTGGCTCATCCAGCGGGAATTCCATCAAGTTATCAACACCTCTGATACTTATTTTAGCAGCAGCAACATACGTTTCAACTTTTACAACATATTGATTCTATAATCAGTTGGCTTCCCGTTTGCTATTTTTTGTTTGTTCGCCATTTGTTCTTGTTTAATCATATACTATTGAGTTCCCCTTAGGCTGAAGGGTTCGATCTATTCATTTGTGACCCCTACTGGGTTACATAGTTTTGTACAATGTGAGATGTTTGTTCTCTCAGTTTATCAATAAAGATGGGTTGTGACTTGTGGTTTGCTATTCATAATTCACTCGGAACATGTCATTGGATTCTAACCTCAGAAAGCGCACAAAACTCGAGTGTAGCACTTTCGGCACTAAGGCAATGAACTTTTAATTGAAACTGATCAATGAAACTAAATTTATTTACTATGAACGGCAATCCACAAACTACAAAGCCATTATTAGACAACATAGTCTTTCATGGATTCAAACTTCTATTTAGAGGGATCAGAACTTTGTATTTGCACATCCGTTACGTCCAACTTAACACACTCTCCTCAGTTAATTTTCTACTAATTTCCATGATATGTGAATGAAATGATTTTCTTTAATTTTCTTAGACATGAAATAGTTAAGAACATAAGAGCTCATTTACACATTAATCCTCACAAAGCTGCCAACAATAAACCCAAACCAATTAACAGGTCCCATCTTCAAGTGATTACTAAACAAAGCAAGTGAATTCAACAGGCTTCAATTACGGAACCAGATGCAGTGGCAGACTAGCATGACTTCCACGTATACACAGAGCAGAACAGATGAATAAAATATGTAGTACACCATGAACCACGTAATTAAAGAATTTGAATCTCTCCCTCGAACCACATCTCAGGAAGAATAACAAAAAAAATAAATAATCAAGCTAGAACTCTGAGTCAAGTCAGTCTCTACATCCAGCAAATCCTGATGAAGAATAGAAGCATTCCAAACATTGCACATAAATTAATCTTATACATTTATGGACAAAACTTGAGTCTAAATTTGAGACGTGTAGCTTTAAAAGTTCGTTGCAAGTATAAACATTCCCATCCATATTATACAGAGGAGCATACTATTGGAACTATTTATCTCATACCATCTCATAAAACATAAAGACCAAAAAGATGCAATATTTAGGCACTGAGGAGCTCACAATCAAAATTACGCACGCCCATGATCTGGTACAAATCAAGAATGCGATCGAGAGCGTACAAAATCTTCCAGTCTCTCCCACACGTCAAGCGCAGCAGCCCTGTCTTGATGTCTCTTGTTCTTACTAATCTGCCAGTGCCATCAAGTTAGACTACAAGTTCATGAGCTGAAAACATAATAAGACAAGCTTTGAGAATAACAGAACATGAACCCACCGAGACAATCTTGACATTCCACTGCTTCACATTCTTCGCCGACTCCAAACTATCATCTTCAAATCGCATGTAAAATCCAATAACTGCAAAAAGGAATGACAAAGCGTTACTAGAAAAATTCAACAGCATAGTTTAGCATAACAAGTGAGGACTGACTAACTTTTGTTGAAAATTTCAACATGGTCCTTGAAAGGCCAATCCTTAAACTGCCACTCCTTGCCCAAAACGAAAACAGCGACGACACGATCCCAGTCCTCGGGTTTGAGCGAAGAGGGCTTATCCCTGACTTCGTAAGCGGTTACAACCCTATCCCTACTAAGCTTCTTCTGCACAGTGACGCAATCGGGCCTAGCACCTTTCATCTGCTTGACTTTGACATCCGTGGGTATATAAACACCGTCCTCAAGGAACTCCTTCACGTTGTAGATAGTGATTAGGGTTTGGAAGGCGCTGGGGACAAGGATAATGGGGACGCCTTCCCCGATCTTAGAGCCCTTGAGGTGCATTTTGGGCTTGGGAGTTGGGTCGTAGGGGCCCATGTCGTCGGAGAAGGCGGCGGTCCCGTCGGAGAAGCCCGTCAAGCGGCTCTTGGCGACGAGGCCGTCCTTCCGCTGGTGGGAGTCGATCCGCTGGCGCTCCTCCTCGCGTTTGGTGGCGGAGACGAGGACGGTGTAGAAGTCGCGATTCTTGCACTCGAGGAGGGCCTGGCGGTCCTTGAGGGGCCTCTCGACGGAGCGGATCATGGACATGAGGTCCAGTTCCTGGGGCTGGGGCTGGGGTTGGGCCTGGGCCTGGGCCTGGGATTTGGGGGCGAAGGGGGGGTCCTCGGGGCGGTACTCGATGGAGTCGGTGGAGGCGAGGGTGCCCTGGAGGTACTGGAGGAGGGGCTTGCGGTCGGGGAGGGTGACGGAGGGGATGCCGACGGCGAAGGTGTTCTGGATGTACTCGGTGTGTTTGAGATGGTGGTTTTTCACGTAGTGGACTAGGGTTTCAAGGGTGTAGCGGTTGCCCTTGGTGGAACGGTACGCGGTCTCCACCCAGCATGGGAACGTGTACTCCTCTCCGAATCGGAACTCGCCGTTCACACGCACTATTCTCTCCACCTCTCCTCTCATTGTGAACTCTCGAAGAGCCGACAGCGGATCCATTCTCGCACGCTGTCCCTCACCTCCCACCCACTACTGCTTTTTATAAACCTCACTCTTTTAAAAAAAATAATTTTTTATTAATATTATAAAAAAAAAATCATACAAAAATATATTGTTACATTATTTATAGAATTAATCACATGTTAATATATCATGTCAATTACTTATTTAATAAAATAAAATAATTTAAAAATTTACATTAAAAAAATTTTATACCAAGAGTATATCAACTCTTATTTATACCTCATAGTCTCAGGTTTCTTTTCCTCTTAATTCATTCCTCGTAAGGAGAGACATTCGAATTAGGTGTAGTTACTTTTTGGTGTAGTTAATTAATCCATGTGCCACATCACTGCCACATTAGCTCTGACCCACTTTATGCAGTGATGTGACACAAGAATTGCTTAGATACTTTAATAATACTATAAAACATTAAAAAATAAAAAAATTAATAGATAATAAAAATAAAAAATTATTATAATATAAAAATTCAAAAATTTAAGATAAAAAAACAAAATATACTTAAAAAATTATTAAAATCAAACTATTTAAATATATAATAATATTATTACAAAAAAAAAATTAGAACATATAAAATAAAAATTCACCACATAACCTCGAATGTTTTTCAAATGAGTATGACAAACCAATCTATCGAGGAGTGTTGTTTACCCGCTCCCTAAACACATAAATAAGGTTTATTCTGAGTCTTGTTTCATAAAACTTAGTATAAAAATGAAAAATAATTCCAACATCAAGCAATAGCATGTCAAGTATAAATGCAATCACCTGCCATTCCTACAACTATTATGATAAGCGGTTTCTTTCTGAAGCTAGGCGATCCATTCCCAGAAGAGGATCCTTCAATATGCAGCTTCTTCATAGTTTCTGCGATTTCCTCCTTTTCTTTGTTTTAACCTTCATAACGAAACCAAGGAATGAGCATCAAGAATCCTTAGAGCCACGATTGAAAAATTCAAAATTAAATTCATCCAATTAAAAGAAAGAAAGTTAGGGTTAATCCTTTAACGAACAACAAATTAACTATCATTTGAGCCAAGTACGATGACCTATTGCGAACATCCCCCTTAAGCAGTGGATTCAATTTTTTTTTTACTTTATTTGGTTTTACAAAAGCGAACGGAGAGAAAGCAGACAGAGAGAACCGAGTTAGGAAGAGGTACGTGAGGGGGGAAAAGTCGCCGGAATCCAGTTGCATAAGTACGTTGGCATTTTGGAACCGTTATTGGTGGCGTTCATTTCCAATTGCGGCGGCGATGTGGAGAGAAGTGAGAGGGAAGTTGTCTTGCGCAGTTGAGGGCTTATGAACGGATCCAAGTTGTCTTACTTTGACGCGCCAAATGAAGGCTCCGTTGGAATATCAACACAATTTTTATAAATACTCACGCATAGGGGAGTTTTATGGGTTGATGGTTAGAGTTTTTTTTTTTTTTTGTCAAACATTCTATGTGTACCGGAAGGTCCCTATCGGTCACGTTGACCAACACGTGCCATTTCGTCAGACTGCATAGCCACGTACAAGCATCATCATCAACGTCGGCTCGGCATGAGGCCGAGAACCGACATCAGGCTGGTTAATGCAAATATGGACCATCATCATTCATCGAGTCGGCTCGGTCAGGTGCCGTGCCGACATAGAACATACCGGAAGTATACAGGCTGCCGTGTACGGACTGGACGGTTCGGTCATTTGCCGCTCCGACTAGTATTGATTAGACGGCTCGGCCTCTTGCCGAAGGGTTAGGCGAGTCATAACAAGTAATCACAGTCAAGAAAGGTAAGTACATGATTAAAGCCTAAACGACCAATTAGTACCGTATTACCTAATTTGGTAAACATCTGATAGGGCCCATCACGCTCAGGCCCATGTCAGATGCTATAAATAGGTCACACGTAACAAGGTATGTCACTGTTCATTTTTAACCTAGATACTCGTGCATATACTAACTTGAGCGTCGGAGTACCTTTTGCAGGTACCTCCCCCCACTTTTGAAGACATCGTTGGAGCTCTTATTCGGTCCCCTTTCACCAGGAAGAACAGGAGTGTGCCCTCAGACAGGTACACTATTCAAATCACTTAAATTTTTTATTAATTTATATGGATTTAAATTTTATAATATTTTTACTTAACTTTTAAATTAATTTAATATTGATTGGATTAATTTGATTTAAGTTATCACATATTTAATAACTTAAAAAAATTAAGTAAATATATTTGTTATAGTAACTAAATTGTTATTAAAAATTAATTAAATTGGTAGATTTGTAATATAGTTTTTTTTAGTTTTTTTTCTTAATTTATTTAAATATTTTAAATGGGTCTTGTCTAAAAAATGACACTCGATATATTATAATATAATTTTTTATTTTTCTAAATATTTGAAAAAATTATGAAAATATTTATATATTATAATATAAAAATATTTTCAAAATAATGAAAATAATATATACAAATTAATTATTAATTAAATAAATAATAATAATAATAATATATAAATTAATTGATTTGAATTGTCAAATTCATCAACCGGGTGAATACCCTTATTCATATATTATTACATTAATTTAAGCAATATTATTAAGATACAACATTTTTGTTATTTAAACAAAAAAAAGACACCTGTTAAAAAAATTAAAAAAATAATGAATAGTTATTTAAAAGGTGAGAATTTTGAAAGTTAAATATAAAAAATAATTTAATAGTAATTAGTATAAAAATGAATTTAAAATTTGTGTACAGAAAAAATAATCATTTTTTATTAATTGTATGAATATATATTTAATTAGTGATCCTCCTATCAATTCCTTCATGAAATAATTCTTTTACTTATATTGATCTCACTAAATTTTAATAAAATTATCATGTGAAAGAATATGGGTAGTTTAAAAAAAGAATGTTATACAAATTGTTCTCCACCGCCATTTTTTTACGTACCTCTTCATTGTTAATAAAATAAGTACTTTTTTTTTTTGGGGTAACAAATTAAGTGATGAAGTGATATAACCAGTGGACAAGTGAAGTGTAAGTCATCAGGCATTAGAAGATGCAAAATTGGAGAAGCCTTTCGTTGTGAGTCACGTAGAGAGAAAACGAACGAGGTCGAACCATCTAGCTTGAACTCATGCCATTCCATTATCATTATGAAGAAAGTACATCTATACAAGTAAAAGAAACACTTTTTACAGGAGTAAAATCGTAATAGCCTTGTGGCAAAACCGCATTTAGAAGGACTATCATCGCTGTATCTTACCTTCCTAAACACAGTAAAAGAAAAAGGAACCAGAGAAAATATAACGAGATTGTAGAATCCATTTGCACACACAAGCAAAAGAGCTTCAATGCTTCATTTATCTCCGGTTACTTATACTACTCTTTAACTGTTGCCTTATCAACTTCATTCTTCCCCCGTGAAGCAGAAATATTACTTTGATCCATATCCCCAGCCTTTCCCATCAAAATCCCAAGCTGTTCAAAACAGTATAAATAAATGACGTGTCATTATGGCAATCCATAAATAGCTTAACAAACTGAACAATTGAACGAAGGATAATGCAGATAAGGAAAAACCTACCTTAGCTTTTGGAATCCCCCGACCTTCCTTGTCTTCCTTGGCACAAACAGTGGAAGTCATGATATCTGCATCACATGAAAACCAATTTAATCTTAACTAGGAAAAAATACGTTCAGCTTTCGGCAAGCTTTGTAAGTAGAAGACTGATCTTACTTTTCTCGAGTGCCCACCCGTTGTTTTTCAAAATCTCAGAGATGATTACAACAGTTGGAATAGCTGGGATTCAATTTAAAAAAAATAGTTAGCAAAACAAAATGCAACTGCGTGTGAGTGTTCTATTATAACTCTCCCTAAGACATCAGTTACTTACTCCACGTGTGAGAAACTCAATCGCATAAAATGGATGCACAATAACATTTAGGGTTTGATTACAATTAGTTTCAACTTTCAACCAAGAGCATAATAGAGAACAGATTGAAAATATTTTTGGTGCAATTGAAATTATTCTTTATTCCAAATTTTCACATACTCACCCAAGAACACTCTTAATGTTCAAGGTTTAACTTGCCATAACAAACAATTGCTTTATGGTAACCCTCATCCCAAAAATGTAACGAGCAGAATCACACAAGAACGCAAAAAAGATTCAAGAAAATTATACCCAAGCCCAGTGCACATAGCTCGACGTCGTTGCCCTGCTTTATGTACTTCTGCAACAGAAAGAAACACAAGATCGATAGATGAAGCCATTTGAAGACAAATTCACAAAGAAAACGTCCAAGAAAAGTAGAGGAAAAAGATGCAAAGCGCAGTTAATCCAATTTCCAAGCAACATGAAATGTGAAATGAAAAACAAAAAATCAAGAACGCACTTAACTACCGATAACCGAAATCCAAAACAGATTTATTGGATGAAAAGCGATGAACGAAGTCAAAGATTGGAGAACAAGCATCAGCGTTAACGAGTGCGAGAACAGAGTGATACCTTGGCGAGATTGAGGTAGAAGAAGAAGGGTTTCTTGGTTTTGGAAACCTGAATTCGGATGACCTTCTTGGTTTTCTCTTCCGCGCCGTTAATCTTGGCGTCGGCGATGTTGCCATTACCACTCACAGAAATCTCCGTCGCCATTGCCACTCTCTCTCTCTCTCTCTATTGGAAATTTTGCAGTGCGCTACTCTCACTTGGAAGCTTCTTCAACAACAAGTGAATGCAACTCTGTTGACGGAGGCGTTTTTATAGGAGCCGTTAACAGATAAAAAGGACACGTGTCTCCTTTTTTTCCCCCTGATATCTCGTTAGTTAGTTCGGTCTTATTTGGGCCTAAAAAAGTAGATCAAGTGCAGGCCCAAAGAAAGTGTTTTGTAGGAATTGGTGGAAGCTATTGAAGCTTAAGCTCATTCTAGTGATATTTGGGCTTTCAAATATTAAGGTTTGAATTTTAAAGTCAAGTGTGTTAAGTATTTTTCTTTAAGCTATTATTCTAAAATTTTATGATCGTTTTTACAATTTTATGTGTACAAAAATTTATGTCGGTTTAATTTTTTTATCTAGATAATTTTGTGAAATCATATTAAAAATTTGTTAGCTTTAATTAAAATGATATATTAACTTTATTTCAAAATATCAATATATTGAAGCATAATCATAAAGGATTAAAGTTTAAATTTTTATTTCAAAATATGAGCTAATTATCACTTTTTATGTTAGCAAAATGTATTAATTATCACTTAATTGTGTACTAAAATGAATTGATTATCATTTATGTACTTATTAATAAAGTAATTATAGAATTAAATATTGTGTAAATTATGACTATTATAACTATAAAAAAAATGTTATTTTCTTATAGCTTTTATTCATTGTCTTTTTTTCCAAACAATCCAAACACAAACCCTTTTTTTTTTAGCTTTTGCTTGTAATTTGGGATATTGTTTAGTGGTCCAAGTTGAATCGTGGGCTATTTATTACAAACTAAAAGTTGTGCAATAGAAATTTCCAAAGTGTAACATATGTGTAGAAAAAAAACTTGGTTTTGGAGATTGAGTTTCTCAATGATGGTTGTTTACGATATCACTCGAGTTATTTCTTCGTAAATAAGGTGGTGAGTATGGTTGGTGATAATTAAGACGTGTCTTGTGATTACAAATATTAATAGGCAGATCAAGTTGCAAATTGTTTAGCCAAACATAGTCATTTTATGTTAGAAGGGGTATGTATCTTACAAAGTTCCCTGCATGAATAAAGTTACTTTTGTTTACTATATTCAATAGTTTTTTTCTTTAGAAGTTTTTAGCTTGGGGTTTTAACCTTCCACTATACCAAAAAAAAAAAATCATTTTTTACTATTATTATAAATGTCGATTTATCAATTATAGTAATATCAAAGATTACGAACAAACTTATAGTATTAGTTTTTTAAACCCTCATATGATTTCACTATTTTTAAATGATTAAGTTTGATATTTTTTTTAAAATGTCAAATATTTCTCTTTCATCTAACTTCATTAATATTATTAGTGTTAATCCGGACAAAAGAATAAAATTAAACATTTTCTTTTAAGTTAAAAGACCAGATTAAATTATTTATAAGTAGTTGAATTTGATTAAATTTTAAAAATAAATAGAGAAACTAAAGAGGGGTAATCACCATAAATATTATTGAAAATCAAATTCTCGAGGAAGAGTAATACGAACTATATTAATTAAGACAAAAAGAACAATAAAATATGGATATAGATTAGCGTGAAAGATTATACCATCTCCTTCTATTTAAAAAATTGTCAAAATTTGACTTATTTATCATTTAATTTATTTTCATAGAAATATGTTTGTGAGAGTAAATTTCCCCATGAATAATAAAATCTTTCTCATTGATAACAACTATAAGTTTGATCACAACTCTCTCTTGAGCATTATATATCATATTATAAATAAAGCTTAATATTTAGTTCATTAAACCCTCTAAAAAAACACAATTTAAACCGGCTTATTTAAAAAAAGTTGTAATATAATTAATTACATTATAAAAAAAACTTATTTAAAAAAATGAAGTTAATAAACATTTATACACACTTGGCTTTTTTCCCCCTTACTAAACTAGGATATTTAACAACTTCTAATTCTTCTATCTTCATGTTTTTTTAACAATTTTCTCTCTCACATCTTTTATGTTATTCCTTACCTCCACCAAACACAACAGTAAACTTATATACATCCAACAAATCCTATGTTATATTCCCCTAGATAATTATAACACAAAATTTTTAAAAACAAAATACAGGTAATGGGCCTAATGCAAACAGCAGAAGTTAGAAAAAAGAAAGTGTATGATGAACAAATTTACGCGGCTTTTGGTTTGGATTTAACCAGACAGGGTTGGGGTTTGAGCTGCCAAACCTAACAGATCCTTTCCAATAATTAATAGAAACAAATCGACGGCAGATACGCTGCCACGTGCCAATTAAAAAAAAAAAGGCTATCCGGTTTGTGTTTGGTTTGTTGAAGAATGGGAGGGGGAGAACTCGTTGGGTGTGTCCTGCGCAACAGGGTTTCCGTCGTCATCTAATTCCATTTTCGTTACTAAACACAGCAAGAAAAGAAAATCATTTTTTACTATTATTATAAATGTCGATTTATCAATTATAGTAATATCAAAGATTACGAACAAACTTATAGTATTAGTTTTTTAAACCCTCATATGATTTCACTATTTTTAAATGATTAAGTTTGATATTTTTTTTAAAATGTCAAATATTTCTCTTTCATCTAACTTCATTAATATTATTAGTGTTAATCCGGACAAAAGAATAAAATTAAACATTTTCTTTTAAGTTAAAAGACCAGATTAAATTATTTATAAGTAGTTGAATTTGATTAAATTTTAAAAATAAATAGAGAAACTAAAGAGGGGTAATCACCATAAATATTATTGAAAATCAAATTCTCGAGGAAGAGTAATACGAACTATATTAATTAAGACAAAAAGAACAATAAAATATGGATATAGATTAGCGTGAAAGATTATACCATCTCCTTCTATTTAAAAAATTGTCAAAATTTGACTTATTTATCATTTAATTTATTTTCATAGAAATATGTTTGTGAGAGTAAATTTCCCCATGAATAATAAAATCTTTCTCATTGATAACAACTATAAGTTTGATCACAACTCTCTCTTGAGCATTATATATCATATTATAAATAAAGCTTAATATTTAGTTCATTAAACCCTCTAAAAAAACACAATTTAAACCGGCTTATTTAAAAAAAGTTGTAATATAATTAATTACATTATAAAAAAAACTTATTTAAAAAAATGAAGTTAATAAACATTTATACACACTTGGCTTTTTTCCCCCTTACTAAACTAGGATATTTAACAACTTCTAATTCTTCTATCTTCATGTTTTTTTAACAATTTTCTCTCTCACATCTTTTATGTTATTCCTTACCTCCACCAAACACAACAGTAAACTTATATACATCCAACAAATCCTATGTTATATTCCCCTAGATAATTATAACACAAAATTTTTAAAAACAAAATACAGGTAATGGGCCTAATGCAAACAGCAGAAGTTAGAAAAAAGAAAGTGTATGATGAACAAATTTACGCGGCTTTTGGTTTGGATTTAACCAGACAGGGTTGGGGTTTGAGCTGCCAAACCTAACAGATCCTTTCCAATAATTAATAGAAACAAATCGACGGCAGATACGCTGCCACGTGCCAATTAAAAAAAAAAAGGCTATCCGGTTTGTGTTTGGTTTGTTGAAGAATGGGAGGGGGAGAACTCGTTGGGTGTGTCCTGCGCAACAGGGTTTCCGTCGTCATCTAATTCCATTTTCGTTACTAAACACAGCAAGAAAAGCGAGGCAGAGAGAGAGAGAGAGAGAGAGAGAGAGAGAGAGATCTTTCATTTTCTCGGGAAAATGGAGGATTCTTTCTTTGACGTCGTGGAGTTTCTGAAGAAACCCTCGATAGTGGAGACATTCGTCGACATTCTGCTTTGCGCGGTTCCGATTTGGCTGGCCGTCATGATCGGCTTGCTGATCGGGTGGTCATGGCGCCCGCGCTGGACGGGACTCCTCTTCCTCGGCCTCCGCAGCAAGTTCCGCTTCCTCTGGACGGCGCCGCCGGGCTTCGGCGCCCGCCGCCTCTGGCTCGCCTTCACCGCCCTCTCCGCCTTCTCCATTTGCCGCACCTATTGGTCCAATTTCAAAGGCAAAGCCAAAGCTCAAGATCCCTCGCCTTCGCAATCCGATGTTGCCGACTCCAACGCCGTCGCACGCGCTACACGGTAGCTCCTCAATTTTACTATAGTTTAGGATAAGAAATTATCGAACAAGAGACCGGAACGCTGATTATTAGGGATTGGACAAATCAAAGTATTGAGTTATATCACGTGTTTGGCGTGTAGTATTTGCTTTTGCGTTTAGTTTTTCAGCTGTTTTAGAAACTAGTTTTAAACACTTGTGAATTGATCTAGACAATCCAGTTTGGTTTGTTTCAGGATAGGCATTTCAGTTTCAGCTTCTTCGGAGCATTGATAATATTGTTGTATTGTTGTTTAATTGTTGCCTTCGTAATTGCTTACTTCTAGCTATCAGATTTTATGACATATTGTGCTGTTTCGCTAGAGGAAGAATGAGTTGTTTTATTCATTTGGCAACTTGGTTATTGCATATGCATTAGGTCCGGTGATAGGGCTGAGGAGAGGGAGCAGGACACAGTTGCACAGACCGATTTGGAACATTTTCTTCATCTCCTTGAAGGGAAAGATGGAGTGATGGATTGGCAGAGTTTTATGGAGAGGTCAACACCGAACATGCAATACAAAGCTTGGCGTCATGATCCTGAGGTTTAATTTTCATCTCATTTCAACTGTCTGTAATCTGACGAAAATCACCCACATCCTGCATTACCTCCTAGTTTAAAGTAGATTTATGTCATCGAGTTTTTTCCATTCCATATTCCCCACCCAAAATAATGGATACGTCCTCACCATCTATGTTGATGATTATTTCTTTTTGGATTTCTACCTTAGAAATATATCACCATCTGATGTTGGACCTGGATCTGTTAACAGTCAGGTCCTACAGTTTACCGTAGTAGAACTGTCTTTGAAGATGCAACTCCAGAGTTGGTGAGGGATTTCTTCTGGGATGATGACTTTCGTCCTAAATGGGATGCTATGCTTGCATACTGCAAAGTATTGGAGGAATGCCCTCATAATGGGACAATGATTTCTCACTGGATTAAAAAGGTATTTGCAGCAACGATCTTAAAGACTTGCATTTTAAGTGTGCAATGGTATGGTTGACTGATTCTTCATTTACTCCTTTTGTCTGTAGTTCCCCTTTTTCTGTAGTGATAGAGAATATATTATTGCTCGAAGAATATGGCAGGATGGAAACACATACTATTGTGTGACGAAGGTATGGTTGTGACACGATTCATTACTATCTTATGGCATTTCTCTTGTTTTTGTTCCTCTCCCAATGACTAGTCTCCGCTCTTCTATAGCTAGAAAAGAAAGTCCCATTGGTGTGAAGACATTGATAGTGAATATTTCAAATTATTGATAGAAATAATTAATGAATTATATGTGGCATACAGGATAGGATAAGTGGAAAATGGTCCCTCTACTTCCCCACAAATTATTTTTTAAACCCAGGTTCACATGTCAAATTGATAATATATTTTGAACTAGTTATTAAAGTAGTTATTCACCCTGGATAGTCAGCAGGTATCATGATGGAAGCTATACTGAAGTTTATACATACAACAACAATAGTTTTGTTCCACTACGTGGGTGCGGTTACATGGATCACATAGTGCCATTAGGCTTGGTTAAAACTTAAAAATCAAAGTCTCAGGGGCATTATTCAGCATGAGATCTCTTAATAATGCCTCAATGTTCTTTTTAGTCTCCCTCTAGTCCTCTACAAGATAAAAACTATGCTATCTTCTCTCCTCATCAACGCCTCTTGTAGCTTTCTTTGCATACTCTATCGTCTTTTACTTCATAAGTGCTACAACAATATTTCCTTGTATATAATCATTTTGAATCCTGTTTTTTCTTGTGTGGCCACACATCCATCTTAAAATGCTCATTTTTGATATTCCCATCTTTTTCTCTTATTGTTTATTTATAGCCCAACATTTATTATTGTATAGTATAGGGTGTTCATGGATTGCATTGGATTGGTTTTGATGAAAAAATATTCAATCCAATCACTTTTAGATTGTTCTTTGATCATCCAATTGGTTTGATTTATTTCAATTTGGATTATATTGGTTTTCAGATTTTTGAAATAGTCTCTATAAGTATTGAAATAAATGATGAAATACTTAAATTAATCCAACATCAAACATCACATCTCATACATAACTCGTAACATAGTTCAAAGTACACATTCAAATTAAGTTAAAGATAACCTTACAATTTCAAAAAAATAAAAATTGATAACAGACTCCTAGTTCAAACGCATTCTTGAATATATGAATATGTAACTAATTATTAAATAATCTTGAATACACAACAAAGTTCAGTTCGATCAGGATTGGATAAGTTTTCAACATAGGATCCAAAATCCAATCTATTCCAATGAAAACAATTGGTTTTTTCAGTTTGTTAGTGTTGTGATTCAGGAATTGTGTGTATTGTTGTACACATACCAATCTTATTTATAGAGTGAATACAATAAATGATAGAGATACTAATCTCTAATATTATGGAAACTAATCTAATCATATTCCTAATTGATAGTGAGGATAATAACCATAATATATGTATCCACAATATTTGTAATATATTCACAATATCTGTAACAGTTAGGTTTTTCATTTTTTCAATTTGGTTAGGTTTGTATTGGTTGAAGAACACTCCTATTTGAGTACAACGTTTCTTATAACAGTGTGATAAAACTTTCCTTTGAGCGTGTGCTTTGTTAAACTACTTTGTTGTCTTTAATAACCTAGTACAGACCGAGTACAATTGGTCATACAACAGTACATTAAGACTTTCCTTTGTGCTTGTTGAGTAACATGAAAAGAATAGGGGAAAAAATGCAAACATAATTAAAAAATTAAATAAAATAGAAACCGCTATGTGACATGAAAAGAACAGCGACCACAGAACAGAGGTTGTGGGTTGGCCAGAAATGCCTGTCAGAGTGTTGTGGGTTACTGTAGAGCCGTGAGTCAGATGTTGTGGCTAATAGAGGAGAGACCATGAGAGCAGTACATCGACTTGCTGAATGTGATTGAGTGCTGAATCAGTGTTTGACAGGTATCAAACAATTGACTAATGAAAGAAAGGGATAAATTTTGAAATTATCCCCATAAATTGAATGGACAACTGGCAATTGGGGCAAGGGTCTTTTAATTGCTTGTTACCAGTGTGGCCACAACAGCTGCAAATTGACACTATTTGGGGTGCAACAAATGCTTCTTGATAACATGACATTGTAGCTTTCTTGTAGCTGCCAGAGGCTGCAACATGGGGCCCCTATGATGTTACCATCGCACACAATTAATAACTCTGGTCATTAACATAACAAGACACTCTTTGTTGGAGAATTGAATGGTTGTTCATGTCTCATTGTTGGTGAAACTTATCATTTTAAAATCTCTTGATGCATTTCTGGCTTTACTTTATGTTTTAAATATTTAATGGCATCCTTCAAAATTTCATGAATTAAAAATTTAAAATTGGTTTAATTCCCTTTTGGTCCCTGTAGTTATATGAATTTTACTCTTTAGTTCCAATAGTTAAAAATATTTCATTTTAATTCCTATGAATATCATTTTTTGTTCCTTTTTAGTTTCTATGTCTTTTAATTATATTCTTCATTAACTGCAAAGTATTTCCAAGTTAATTCAGATCATTTGTTAAGATGATTTATTGCTTTACATGTTTCTTTCAGTAAATCTACTGTTAATTGATTTAAAATAAATAAACAAAATACAGAAGGTTTATACTTTTTCAATCTTCAATGTTATAGGGAGTACCCTATCCAAGTTTGCCAAAACGGGATAAGCCCAGACGTGTGGAACTCTATTTTTCTAGTTGGGTAATCAAACCTGGTAAGAACTGTCGGAACAATTATTTTTTGCTTGTTAACCTCAAGAATTCAATGGTGATGTTTCATGGGCTGATTCTGGGAAATTGATGCAGTGGAATCTCGCAAAGGAGATGGTCAGCTGTCTGCATGCGAGGTTACCCTGTTACATTATGAAGACATGGGGATTCCCAAAGATGTTGCCAAGTTGGGAGTCCGCCATGGAATGTGGGGAGCTGTCAAGAAATTGCACTCTGGAATGAGAGCTTACCAGAATGCTAGGAAAACAGATGGTTCTTTATCAAGATGTGCATTGATGGCAAGTAAAACAACTAAGATCTCTTCTGACAGAGACATGCATTCCTCAGAGCCTGCGTCTTCTTGCAAGGAAGATGGAGTGCAAGCCTTGATTAATACCGCACAAAAGGGTCATGGCCTCGACTGGAAGTGGGTGGCTGTGGGTGGCACTGTTGCTCTGGTTTTGGGTCTTCATACTGGTGCTGTAGGGAGAGCGTTGTTGTTGGGAGCAGGGCACAGAATTGCGCGGAGATGAGTTATCTAGGATCTGGTTAATGTCATGGGAAGGTCCACTTGTCACCATTCAGAATATTCATCATATATATACATATATATATTTAGACCATCATTTAACGGTACCGAATGCTAATTTTGTGTTTGTTATTATTATTATTATTATGACGATGATGATGATGATTTTTTGTATTAGTTTCAGCCCGGTTAGATTCATCTTGCCCCTGCGTTTTAGAATGCTAAGCATCAATTACATGCCATTTTTTTTTAAAGGGAATCCTTTCAACAACGTTGCCATCAAATTATGGGCCACAAATATTATATTTTACCAGGATCAATTGGACGACTTGAAATGTTTTGTAGCACGGTAACCAAAAATAGTAAAAATAAAATAAGGATAAACTGTGTAAAAATAGAATGTACTTTGATGATTGAGCATTTAAGATTTTGTCGGATTAAAGTGATTCTTGGTTCTAACAAGATAAAAACTGGTGTCCTGTTGTATGAATTATCAAATGCCAAAGTAGAGCCGTTGAGCTCAATAATTCCGTAACTGCACTGTAGGTATGATATCGGTGTACCCCAACACGGGTATCAGTTATTTCGTCCGGACGTCCGATTCGGGAAACATGATCATGTCCATTTTTCGTTTGCAACAGTACTGTGTTTAAACAACAGCGATATGTAACAAAAACAAATATTGATAAATAAAAAACTAGTAAGCATTTTAAAGTGGGAATTATGAAAAATGTGAAATTAGCAATTCCTCTCTAAAACATATTTTTTTTAAAGCTTATAAATAAATAATAAATAATCATCGACGAATGGGAAAACAAAAAGGTGAGGAAGCACAAATCCAACAATCAGGCAGGTCTATATGCTGCTGTTTATGATTGGCAGCCCATGGTATTGAAAAGATAAAGGTCGATAATATAATAATTTGATTGGGAAAAACAATTTTCTTTAATGTAAGTTCTATGGTTTGTTTGAGACATGGAATAAAAATGAAGTTTATATATATA